GTAGGAGACGCTGCTACTAGTGACAAATGATCTTACTGGAGGTGTAACGCTTCTCATCCCCACCCCCTCCAGCACCTCCCTCTCCCCCGGCCCCGGTAACTAATACCTCCTAAATTCTTGTCGGTGGTCGTCTGAACCATGATGGTAGTTGCTAAATACAATAGGTTCAGCCGAGGGGGCGTGGCTTCGTATGTTGACGCAGAGTTGACGTCATGCATAACTTCAGCTATGTTTTGTATTAATTTCCTCGACAAAGTGTGAGGCATGTCTGTAATCACACAGCATAGCAAAATACAGTCCGTACCAACTAATTCCTTTCATACTACAACCAATATAAGAAAAAAAAAGTTGTCCCTGTGTGTTTTTCTTTCCAAAAATTAGGATCCCTGGAATATTATAAATTCATGGGGCCTACACAGAGTGAAATAATACATAGGAGGCCTAGTTAGTCTTATTTTAGCGGTAGGGATTAGGCTAAATCATTGAAAGAAATGAAAACAATTCAATGGCCTAGGCCCTACTATAGTACAATACTGTATTTAACAGGGGTGGCGGCAGCGGAAGGGTCGGGGGTGTGGGAGGTAGGACACCGTCGGGGAGGCCTGGCTTCTCTCCTCCTGTCAGGGAGAAAAACCACAATTCGCTAGGGAGAAAAAATGTAATCTAATTTCTACTAGTAGACACAAAAATCGACTAAGTAAGACTTGCAAACCAAAAATTATCCCCCCCCCACCCGTGTAATACTTTCGACGGGTATTGAGAAGACCTCGGACCCCGGGCAAATCCTGGCGCCACGTACCCCTGTACTACTTAGTCTATGGATTTTCCAATCTTAATCCTAATTATCTTAAAAGAGAAAATGGGCCTAATAAATTAAAATTACAACTTTTACAACATGACTGCTGAAGTTAAGATTTTTTTTTTAGTGTTCACTGCTTTGAAACAATATTGCCGGCTATATTCCAGAAAAAGGGAACCGAATTAATATAGGCCAATGCAATTTAAGTAAATATATTAACTTTCCAATGTCGTGTATATTTGTATTGTATAAATGTTATGTAGGCTATTATGCGCCTATTCAGTGCAGATTCTTCAGTGCCTAGGGGAGGGTCTTACACTGATTCTGCATAAGCATAGATAGGCCTAACTTCACGTGAATGTGGCACAGGCCTAGACGGACTGCTGCTGGACGCACAATCTAGGACTAGGCCCAGACTACTACTGAAAAGACCTCCAGGTCCGACCTAGCCCAGGCTTAGTTAGAGGGAGCCTAGACCTACGAACGTCCATACTACTTAGGCCAATCGTCTGAAAATGGACTCAATTGTCCATCACCCACCCGCAGCAGCAGCACACGAGAAAACTAAGCTAAGCCTTAGCCTGCTCGGTGTAGTGTGATCCAGCGTGACCACTCACAATTTTTGATATACCCAATGACTGGGTCGAAATTACCCAAGATTCATCAAAAATTGCCCAAAATTACCCAAGCTTCCTGAAAATACATTAAAATTTGAAAAATACGTGTTTTTCGCACGTATAGTTTCCCTTTTTTAGTGTAATTGTTTGTGTTAATTATTACAATTAATATTCATGAGGTAATAATACGGATAGAAAAATACGCCCTCAGTCGGCCAGTGTTATCAGTGTAGATCATAATAAGTTTTATTATGTAATGCATTAATTAGGTAAGATCAATGGCAATGCAAATCAAAATAAACAAATCTGAACCCATGTTTATAGCAATTAACAGTCAATTAACAATGGTATGTGCACTTCGTTGAGTTTTGTTTACTTGAATGGACTGAAATATACTTTGTTACTTCTTAATTCTTCCTCTTTGACAAAAATATTTAATTTTCTTAGTAAAAATAAATACCCAAGGATTTGAACGGAATACCCAAGAACCCAAGACCAAGTCAAAATACCCAAGATCTTGGGTAAATACCCAAGCAGTGGTCACGCTGGTGTGATCTTTATGGTAGACGGCATAATTATACATGACGTCACCATATACAAGCCACTCCCCTCGGCTGAACCCGTTGTATATAGCAACTACCCTGAAGGATTCGTCATTAAAATGATCAGTTGCGCGCGCGTCGTAAAATTGTGCAGTGTGCTTAAAATAGAGACCTAGCCTAGTAATTGGCTAGGCCTAGCTAGCCATCGTATAAATGCTCATATATTCACCAGCCGAATATAGTAGGCCTACATTTGTTTATCTGCTGAATAAACAATTTTAATTATTTGTGCAAATATAAATATGTGTGTACGAGATGTCGTACGACAGTCGCACGACGCGACGCCGTCTGCTGATTGCCGGTGGTCGTCTGAACGACTCGTCATTAAAAATTATCAGTTGCGCGCACATCGTCGCGTTGCGTTCTTTTAGAATTGCGTCGGCCGACCACTAATATAAGTCAATCGTGACGTCATCACTGTAACTCCCAATGTCATTTGCCCATTCCCCAGAGTCCAATAATTTTTGTATTAGGTTAGATTTAATGCATTCAAAAATTTCCTTCGGGCCCTCAGGAAATGTTTTCAAGCATTAAATCTAACCTTCGTACAATAATTTTCCTATAGTGTGCGGAGCTCTACTAATTGCTTACTATAATAGCTGGAGTGTTCATCGGGCCAATCCTGGTACAGAAAAAGTGAGGCCTTCGACGCCATGTAACGTACCAGTTTAGAAAAGTTTGTTTTGGCAATTGTTTAATAGTTAAAAATAGCGATTCTTGTAATACTTTTCAATAATAAATTTAAATTTAAAGTAGAATTTTTTTTTCAACCATCTAACACACTAGACGCGACTGTTAATGCAGTTTTTAAAAGCGCGGGCGATATCGCGTTGTTACAGTGACGTCACAAATTTATTATTAAAAAGTTTTGCAAGAATCGTTATTTTTTAACAATTATTTAAACAAATGCCAAAAGAAACTTGTCTAAACTGATACGTCACATAGGGCCCCGACATGGCGTCGGTGGCCTCACTAAATCTAGCCAATAAGGAATCCAGCTATTTTAGTAGTGATCAGTGCTGCCGACGACCGTCCTAGACCTAGCCTAGTAATTGGCTAGGGAGCCCTCGTATAATACTATATCTGATTTTTTTTATTGCCAGCGTCCAGCCCATTGGCAATACTTAAAAATTCAAATATATAAAGACTTCAGCTGGCATAGCAACTTTTGTGGGCAGGCCTTGTTAAAATTACAGTAGAATGGGCTAGGCCCTATGTAATGTCATATAATTTACAATAAATTTGAAATTGTGGTTTTAAAATAGGCCTATCTTAAAGCGTACTATTTGGGATTCTCCTTGTCATAGCGAAGAAAAAAAAATTCACTACACTCATTGAGACTTGTTTGTGTGTGATCAGTACACTTTCTGTTCATGGAGGAAATACTCGTCATATATTGATTTTCTTTTCACAATCTCGGCGCAAAATTCTAGCGCATGCGTAGAAATTACTTAATTTTCGGCACAGTAGCTCTGGGTTGTCACGGCGGGTTACGAAAGGGCCAAATGGGTCGTCGACCTGCCTATGTTTTGGACACATCGTCATTAAAAAAAAAAAATCATTTATGAATAATGAAAATAATAAGTGTTTCCATGACTCCCATATAGGCCTACAGTAAGTTTAAAGGCCTAGCCTAGGCCAGGGGGCGCGGCCTACTGTTCACTTGAGAATCCAGTTAGGCCTTTCCAGTGACACAATTGGTTTAACGGTGACTTCAAAGCAATTATGCCGTGTTAGTCTTGTTGAACGCTCCATACACATTGTCGTGTTGCGGTCTATGTTGACACGCATGAGAGGATCCAAAATTGTATTCAGTAGACTTTATGCAGTTTCTTGCTATGCTTTATTGTACATCATCATCAATCGAATATACAAAGTCTCTCTTCCTGTTTGAAGATTCTTTTCTGAATCTAAATACTCTTTTCTGTTCTAAGTATTCGCATCACATCTCTACTAGCTCCTAATAATCATTTCAATATATATATATATATATACTGTCTCTTATACACATCTAGATGTGTATAAGAGACAGAGTAGTATTAGGCATCTCAAATACACACACAGATATGCCTGCCACATTTTGCGGTCGAAAGGGGATGTAATTGTGTAATTCTTCCCCTGGGTGTATAGCCTCTCTTACTCATGCCAGCCAACATCTTCTCGTGGTGGACCCTGTTAACATAGGTCGCGAGATCTAGTAAATTGATGTGGGCTATGGCGTCTACTCTAGAAATGGCCTCCAATTGGCCGATCATCTTGTAGAGAAAGCAGTGCCTGTCTCTTATACACATCTTGATGTTATCATGACCATATTTAGGCATGTCATGATTTTGTCAAATAAAATGTTATAGTCTGGACAGGGCTTAACAATGTTAATCCTTAAACTATATGTATATTAATTCGTGGTTACGATTCGTGGTCACATTACAGCAACATCGGCAGCAACAGTAGCAGCAGCGGCAACGGTAGCGGCAGTTGTAGCAGCGGCAGTAGCAGTAGTAGCAGTAGCAGTAGCAGTAGCAATAGTAGTAGGAGTAGTAGTAGTAGTAGTAGTAGTAGTAGAGTGGTAGTAGTAGTAGTAGTAGAGGTAGTAGCAATAGTAGCAGCAGTAGCAGTAGTAGTAATTATTATGATTATTAACGTAAATTTGATATTTTACAAACGGGTTTTTATCCTTTTGAGCCAAAGCAGTAATATTTAACAAAAAATGTAATTATTTTAATTTTATGAATAAAGGATGATACATAATTCAGTTTTATCTTTATATATATATATATATACATCTATATATATATATTATAATTATAATTATAATTTGTGTCATTTTGTTCATTATGTTATTGGTTGAATAGACGTACATTGAAGTTGAAGTTGAGAAGTATAGGCCTACTGTTTATCATTGTTAGACTAAAACTGCAACCTTTCTGTTCCATCATAATACTCACTTTATGCGTCTTTTAAACTACAATTGAGCTTTAATATTTCAAATATAAAGCAAATGAAACATTTTACTCAAAGTTATTGATATTCACCACTTACCTATAGGTTGATCGTTCACAGGTCCATTAATTTGAAAACTGTAGTCCTTAATCTCATCATACCAAGCCTTTACAACTTTTAGACCTGTTATACAAAATTGATATTATGTTTAAAGGTGTATTTTTCCTCTAAAAAAATTATAAAAAAATATTTTGGAATTAACCAGCTTATTTTGAGGTAACATGCAAATCATTAACTTGAACATAGACACTATTGCATTTTAAAAATGTAATATTATAATGTATATTACTTTGATGCTTCGGTAGAAAGCGCTACATAAATCAAAATACGTTACATTACATTATATTACACATTAAATTCTCCTTTATGTTATGTTTCAAAATTTATATTATTGATTGCAATATTTAGCTTGCTGTTTGAAAGGTACTCAAATTCTACTGGCCATTGGATCACTACAACAACTTCGTGGTCAAGTGGTAGATGTGTGCGATAGGTAATAATATAGTTGTTATTAACAAACCTGTAATATTTTTCGCATGATAAGAAAGACTACCCCATTTCATTGTGTATAAATTTTCTCCGTATGGTGAATGTTGGCTGTGTGCAAGTTTGCCACTTTCAGCGTTTGTGTCAGACACGCTTTGTGCGTAATTAGTCAGCTCTTGCTTTTCATATAAAGGCTATGTAGAGAAATTAAAAAGATGAATATATTTCAATAGGTTTGCTACATAGTACTATATATACAAATTAAATAGATAAGTAATATAAAGAGTGCTTAATGTGGGAACATAGGTCTTCAGGGAAAAATATTTCCGTCAAACAGACACCTTTTGTGATACAACTGGCTTTCGTGTTGAGATATCATAGTAATTAAAACACTTTGTAAATAGAAATAATATTAATAATAATAATAACAATAATAATAATATAAAATATATAATGCGTATAAATTAGTTTTACCAATAACAAATTTAAATCAGATGAATTTATTTGATCATTGATTTAATTAGGTTATGGATCATAGCACCATAGACACATGACCCATATTCTCGAAAGTCTAGTCTCGAAAGTCCAGCATTAACTAGTGCAGGACTAAAGTTTGCTTGTTTTTATTTATTTATTTATTTTTTTTTTAGCTTCGTTGATTTTTTTTTTATTTACTCCAGGACTAAAGTTAATTCTGGGCTAACTTAGTCCACCCTCAAGAATATGGCCTATGATTTCATATATATAAGTTTAAGTATAAGTTTAATGTAATTTCACTGTTCCCTGGTTTAATTAAAAGTAGTTATTTTCTGGTTGTACACATAGTGTTTAAATTCAGTACATAAACGATCAGTTTATTGAAATATCAATAAGGCTGAAGTATATTTGATAATTATTTTAGTCTAATTAACAGCAGCTTCTATAGTGGTCAAAAACAACTTTCTATTTTAGACGAATTTATGTAGGAAAATTTTGTATTACAAATTCTTTATATATAAATAACGGTAGCCAAATGCATAAAAGTATTAATGAAAAATAGTTTGAGCCTTTTAGCGCTCTCAATTGGCGAACATTTTTGTTGAATTATTTTGGCTGTTTCAATATGCGACATTTTTATAAACCTTAGACAGAGTTGCAAAATATTAATATTTTTTTAATCATTATATTCTATATTTAATTACCGGTAGCTTTTGAATGGTATTCTTTTTATTGGGTTGATTATTTGGCTATAATCCATAACGAGTTTTGAGTGGTATTAGGCATCTCAAATACACACACAGACATGCCTGCCACATTTTGTGGTCGAAAGGGGATGTAATTGTGTAATTCTTCCCCTGGGTGTATAGCCTCCCTTACTCATGCCAGCCAACATCTTCTCGTGGTGGACCATGTTAACCTAGGTCGCGATATCTAGTAAATTGATATGGGCTATGGCGTCTACTCTAGAAATGGCCTCCAATTGGCAGATCATCTTGTAGAGAAAGCAGTGCTGTTGCTGTGGGGGTGGACGCTAGATGGAACCAGTAAACGCTCACCAGCTGCATCTGGTGAAGCTTGTACAGTTGTTTTGGGTCTCCTTGCCTCTGTACATCCTGCTTTGTTATATAGCAAGGAGGTACAATCTAAATTCTGCAGCTGCTAAATTTTACCATGAGTCTGGCACTGATTTAGTCCAGCAGTGAATAGTGTATAGCATTTGCTAGACAGTTTGTGAAACAACCATGCAGCCCTACTTAGGGGAGACCTGCATGCCCCAATCATAGGATCAATTATTTCCTGACTCAGGAAATTCTTTAAACTTTGTTTGTTTGAAGTTGACGACCCCGACACGGAAATCCTGATTTGGGATTTATTGGATTGAAAATTACTGCTGTCATTGAAACTACACTTCTAGGACAAGAACTCAAAAGAGAAAAATATTTCACATTTTTCTATAGATTCTAGAGAAAGGCCAAAGGTGGAGTCCCATAACTTTAATTTCTACTTTAATGTCTACTCTACAATGAAGTATAAAAATCGGCTATATTCTAGTATTGATGTAGGCCTAATCCTCCAAAAAGTACCAAACCATCATTGTCTGGTAATAATGGGTGGGGGGCTTTAATGATCATATTAATGCAGATTTTAATGCATGGCAGCCCAATATTGGGTGCCCTGGTTTCGGAAAACCAAACGACAATGGGCGAAGATTGCCCAAAGCACTCTTTCTGCATCAAAAATCGCTTGCAAAGAAGTAAAATTACACGGATGCACCCTTTCTCAGGTCACTGGCATCAAATAGACCATACCATTACCAGACGCAAATTTTGTAGTGATTTCTTGCACTCAAGAAATATGCATAGTGCAAACTGTGAAACAGCCCATACTTTAGCTCGGTGTAAATGCTTTTGCTCCAAAGAAGCTCAGACGTAGGAAACACCAATCTATTCCCAAAATAAACACATTTGGCCCAAAGATTTTAGATCTGATACGAAAAAGCAGTGTAACACCTTAGATGGAGAATGACTATACCTGCAAAAGACACTCTACATTAAAGCATACTCAGTCTTTGAAAGAGCTGTTAAAAACCCAGAATACTTCACTGCAAGCAGCAACATTCTGCTTCCACATTTAGAAAAGAATAGGATTGCTTGTTTGAAACTTATAGAAACCTTCACGTGAAACCTATGCAATACTGAAAGACATTTTTTAGAAGCACTCAGAAAACAACCAGAGAATGTATGCAAAGATACTGGTCAAACATGAAAAACCGCATCCAAACCTTCACCAAGCAAAATGATCTTAGAGGTCAATATTAATGGCATAAAAAAGCTTTTGGGCCGTCTCTCTTGGACGAAAATAGAGTTATCTTTACTGACGTAGATAACAGGTGAACAGAATTGTTTGAAGATCTCTATTTAAGGAAATACATTACAACGAAGCTACTTGGTCGTCACCTATGTTCACCACTTTTTACGATCTTGATGCAAAATTTGAACTTGATGAAATTATGAATGCGTTTTGTAGCTTGAAAACTTGAAAGGCATGTGGTGTGGATGGTATACCTAATGATGACTCAATTACAGTAAAACAATCATTGTACAACACTTCAATAAATTCTTCATCTCCTGCTGGAAACTCTTGTTGGCGGTTGTCGGTCGACGCAATTCTATGTAGAACACAAATCGACGTTAATTATGTTCTTGAATCTTTTCGTCGATGAAGAACACATGCAAAAAGAACAAGTAACTTACACGATATATTGTAACATACAGAATGTTATTATATTCCACACACAGCAAATCTACAGTATCGTCCTCAAAGAAATTTTAGTTCCTACAATGGCCTATACAATAAAAAAAAAAAAAACCACTTCTGCCCTAGCTTTGGAACCAACACCAATTGAATATTGCCAACTCGGTCACTGTCCAACACAAAGGAGATGGTGCTACCCCTTAATTCGTATTATGGAATTTGCGCCCACAAACCTTGTAGTTATTATTATTTACGTCATAAAATTACGTCACCTTTTCCTGGTAAGGAAAACTTCCCCGGCGTTCTTTTTACATGGAAACACCACTGCTTTGCACATGGATGCCTTGCTTAGCTAGGGCTACGAGAGCCGCATTGTTAGCATTGTATACTAATTAAACAAGGTACGCCTGGAACTGATTTATTCTTAGTTAATTTCTATTTTATTATTTTAATTTATTTCCATCGAAAGTGAACTTTCTATCACATTTAATTGCACTGTCTACTTAATAATAATAATTTAAATTTAATAAAGCGCCAATATTACTAAACCGAAGTAAAACCCAAAGGCGCTGAGCATGTTCAGATGTTAAAAAGGTGGGTTTTGAGTTTGGTCTTAAATATAGCAACTGAAGTTGAGTCGGTAATATGTTTTGGGAGGGAGTTTCAAAGTGTGGCAGCTGAAAATAAAAATGATCTGTGGCCGTAGGATTTGGTGTTAACTCTTGGAACAATGAGCAAATTAAGGTCAGAAAAACGGAGGGCGAGGATAAGGATACATATTTAGGAAGGAGTTCAAGTAGGTAAGTGGGCTAGAGTCGTAGTGCTTTAAAATTTAGTAGCAGAATGTTATACTTTATTCGTGAATTAATTGGAAGCCAGTGCAAATTATAGATGATGGGAGATATGTGCGATCGTCTATTGGTAAGTGTTATAATACGTGCAGCAGTGTTCTGGAGGCGTTGTAACCTGTTTAACTGAGCTTTAGGTAGTGCAGAGAAAAGAGAGTTACAATAACCAAGATGGTAAGTGACAGAGGCATTGATTAAGGTGGCAGTAGTGTCCTTAGAGAGATATTTCCTGATGTTAGCAATATTGCGTAGATGGAAATTAACTGTTTTAGTGATATGACTAATATGATCGTTTAGAGAAAAAGAATCGTCAAAGGTAACACCAAGATTTCTAACAGATGCTGAAGGATAAATTGTACAAGAATTGAAATATAAAGAAGGGAAGTTAATTTTAGAGCGAATGCGCTCAGTGCAGAATATAATGAATTCAGTTTTAGTATTGTTAAGCATAAGCATATTAGCAGATAACCAGGATGAAATCTCAGACAGACATTTATCCAGTGGTTGCCTTATTAGGAGGGATTCGGAGGGGTAAAAGTCAATGTAAATTTGTATGTCGTCAGCGAGATAATGTAAGTTATTTTTCTTGATAATTTCAGTTAAATGAGATATATAAAGGGAGAAAAGCAGAGGTCCAAAGATGGACCCCTGGGGAATTCCACAGTTAAGGTTCTTTGGAGCAGATTTAATATTATTTATTTCCACGCACTGGGTACGACCAAGTAAATAAGAACGAAACCATTTAAGGGCACAGCCTGACACTCCATAATGTAAGAAAAGAGGATGTAGAAGAATATTATGATCGACAGTGTCAAATGCAGACGATAGATCTAACATCACGAGGACCACAGCACGTTTACGTTCAAGTGAACAGACAATAATCATTATGTACTTTGGTAAGTGCAGTTTCGGTGCTATGACCTACTCCATAAGCTGATTGATACAGATTTAAGAGCTGGAAATTGGAAAGATATAATGATAATTGATTAAATACGACTTTTTCGATGAGCTTAGCAAGAAAAGGAAGGTTTGAAATAGGTCTAAAATTTTAGAGCAAGCCAGAGTCGAGAGAAAGCTTCAAAAAGGGTTTCACAATAGCGGTTTTAAATATCGATGGAACAGTTCCAGACATGAGGGACTTATTAACTAAGAGAGTAAGGGGCTTCATAATGGAAGAACAGTACAATTTAAGGAGATGGTGGGTATAAAATCTAATGAACAAGATGCAGAGGATAATGATAGATGCATTTCTAAACAAAAGTGCAATCAACAGTATCAAAGGAGGAAAAAGAATGAGTGTTCTTCAAGGGCGGATCTGTGGTTACCACCAAGGTGGTCAGAGCACAAGGTGTTGAAGTGAGTTTGTTACGTATCTTTTTAAACTTTTCACAAACAAATTGCGAAAAAAGTTCAGTCAGCTGAGACATATCATTATGAGGAGGGAAAGAAACAACAGAAGTACCTTTTTAAACGATTTTTACAACATTAAACAGTTTCTTTTTGTCATTTGAGCATTCTTCGATTCTGTTAGTATAAGGTAGATGGCCTTCGCCTGCCTTAGTTTTCTGTTAAATAGTTTCAAATTGTTAACATATTCACGTTTGACATTATCACATCTACTTGAATACCATCGTCGTTCAAATTTATGAACAGTACGTTTCATTAATCTAAGTGAACAGTTATACCAAGGTTTATTGTTCTTTTTATCCCGTATTCTAATTTCCCTAATTGGTGCAAACTCATCCATGGTACAGCATAATCATCTACAGTATCTAGTGGCCCAATATCTTCCTCAATTGAGGATAAAGTAATATCAAGATAATGTTGTAATTAATTAATATCAATTGACTTAATATTTCTGCTCTTGATGAAATTAGAAGTTGGCTTATTATAATTTTTTCCCTTAGAATTATTAACACAAATCTGGAAATAAATAACTGAGTGATCACTAAAGATAAAACAACGGTCATTAATTGTAAATAGGTGTAGAATCCTTAGTGATAATTAAATCCAATAAATTTCCCTTATTGTAAGTAGGTCTGTCCATATGTTGAATAAGATTATAGTCATTGAAGATGTCATTTAGTTGACGGGCGAGTGTATTGTCTGAGTCCAATAGATGAACATTAAAGTCCCCAAGATAGACTGTTGCACATGTATAGCAAGTTATCATCCAATGAAGATGAGAATTCTTCTAAAATATTATCAGCATCAGCTGAAGGAGGACTGTATACAGAAACAATCCGCAGATTGGGTGATTTTGACAGTACCTCACAGCATTCATAAGAGCGAAGTTGCCGGTCGACAAATTCAAAGCCAAGGTTGGACTTAAAAAGCACACGTACTCCACCTCCTCGCCTACCCTGTTTCCTCGACTTATGGATGAAAGTATATCACTAGGTGTCAACGCAATCTCAATTGCTTGATCGTCTTTATGGAGTCACGTTTCAGTTAAGACGATCACGTCGTACTTGTGTTCCTCAATAAAATCTGCAATGCTGCTTGCTTTGTTTCTGACTGATCGAGCATGTATAAAACAAACGGATAGGTGGATTCGATCTTTGTCTACGTTTGTATTGTTTACATGGGCAGGTAATTCCAGATGGTCAGTTTTCTTATGAACCCGCCTACCTGCCCTATGACCCCTGCGTGCTTTTTCCATATTTCTAGGCTGGAATAGTGTTCTACAATACCTTTTCGATAGAACAGCCACTTGATCGTAGTCGAATCAAATCCTCTGAGGAATAAGTAATGAGACCTTCACAAAAATACGAATTTCCACGCAGATTGATGACCAAAAATACCAAAAGGAGCATCAAACTGGAGCTCATATTGATTTGGTGAAAAGATGTGTTCTTTAATAAGCACTTTATTTCCAGTAAGTTACTATTTTAGACACAATCTTAAGAGCAACATGCAAACAGTTCAGCTACTGACCTAGCGCACTATATATTAAGGCATAGTTTTACTAATAAATAGCCTCACCGTCCCCCGCTACATCAGTAGGCTAGGCAACAGAACGTGATGTGCCATCCTTCCCAGGTTTTCATTTAACATTTGCATATTGTTGGCTAACCAATTTATGCTTCCCGTTACCCCATACCCACGCTACAGTACAAACGTATGCTAGACAGAACGTGATATTTCACCTTCCTTCCCAGGTGTTCATGTAACATTTGCGTAGGCCTTGTTAACTAACCAGCTTCGTTTTCCTTTGTGAAAATGAGTACCGCGGCGTCCTCATTTTCACAAAGCGTTTGCATCCCCTCTTGGAAAGAGGGAACTTCGAAATAATCACTCGCTAATTAATCACCATAATTTAGCTTACACTTTTGCATGGAGTAACTGGATCACTTAAAATGTACAATAATCATTTCACTACCCGACAAACCCACACCTTTATTCATGCATTACATAAATAGTTTCAGGTTGCTGTACTCCAACATCCCTGGCGCATGGTAACAGCCGATCGACTGACTGCAGACCATTTCCGGTCACACATTACTCTCCATAACGCAGCATCCCCTAGTTCCGTCACCTCTGGGTAAAGGGGTTCCAGATACAATATAAAGGCCCCCAAAACAGTTTCATATCAAGGAATTCTTCAACTGCACTAAGCAAATCTGAAATTATAAGTAATACGATACTCAGGGAATTGGTAATTGGGCAAATTGTGGGTCCGTTTGTTTCTCCCCATTTGAGAACTTTAAATCAACTCCATTAAGCCAGAAAAAAATGTGTACCATGGAAATACAAACCATTGTATAATCTTTCATACCCCAATGATGAGAGGTCGGTTACCATATAATGTTTCACAACAACATAAAATAGGCCTACAGTGCAATATCAACAACAGTCAACATAATCCAGAAGTCTAATTATCCCACTTAATTTGTAGAAAATGACATGAAAAGAACCACTTAGGTTAATAACCCTACACTCAACGCAGTCACAATTTACTACGATAAAGTGTGACCATAAGGGTTTGGGTCTTCCTGTAAAATTCCATCGGTCTCCGCCTTTCCCCTGACAAAACAGTCAAACAAGTGTTTCTCTTTTAGGCATCTTGTAAAGGGGCATGTTCCCTTCTTGCGTTCAAGTTTTGATTAAAATAATATTACATTTTTTACATTTTTATACTATTTATTTGTATTTTATCATATGTATTATATTAATGTTTGATTTTAAAGGGGCTCAAGCTCGATTAGCTTTGGCTATTTTTCTTGGCTCCTATTGCATACTACAGTACCTGTATTATTTTTGTTTTTTTGTATGCAATAAGGAGAAAGAGGAATTATGAATTATACATCAAATTGGTAGTTGTTAAACTTGATTGATAAAAGCCAAAATTCGTATAACCCTTGAACAGGCATCAACTCAAACTGTATCCTAAAAATTAAACTAACAGTTAAACAGAAAACAGTAAACAGGCTGTGCATTAGTCAACTTTCTAAGTCCGTTTAAATTTCTGTTTAACAATGAAGACAAATTTGGACCAGATAAGGAACCATTCCGACGCAGTAATCAAGTTTGTTATGTACTGTGGTAAGGTGCTTAATTTAACCATTATTATATTAAAACCAGTAACAAACCTGCTGTATTATTTATTGTTCTTTAGTATTGCCAGGTGAAAGTGAACACTCTTCCGTTTTCCCTGCACTCACATGGGCTGCTCTTGACAGTGTTCCACCCGCCGAAGGTCATTTTCTCTGAGTATCCATGTGCTATTTAGCTCAGAATTATATTAGTATACTAATAATCAATTTATGTATTCTTAGTAACGTGCAGTATGCACGGTAGAGTATTCATTTTTTTCAAATATAAACAACTTTGCGCCAGTTATATAATGTGTACTTATTGCTGAAGTATCATAGTATGAAAATAATGCTTTCCAACAGCATAACAAAACATGTCATTGTATTCTGCTGATTTATTTAAAAAGTTATACAGTTGTACGTTGTATCATCTCATTTATTCGAATAAACGCCCCGGGGCCTTTAATTGTTGAGACGGGTTTTTGAGGGGCGTTTATTCGAGGGAAGCGTTATTTTTGTTGGTGTAAAATTGATATGTATATACTCACATAAACGTCAGTTTAATTTTACTGTAAATGTCCAACACATAATTACCGTCAACTATTGTGTGATCATAAATACTGATCCCAACCAGTTTAAAAAAAGGAAATTTTAGTAGAGTAAGAACATTAATAGAATGTGTTGAGAATGATGTTGCTTCCATTAGATTTTTTTTAGGCTCAAGAGGAGCTCCTACTCGTGTGGGGTGGGAAGGGGGTTAGGATTGGCGTTTATTCGAATAAATACGGTATTAATTATTTTTTGTTTAAAAGTATAAACTGTCAGTACATACGTCAACATCTACATGCAGACATCTATAATAGTTGTGAGCCTCAATGATTTTCTGATTGAAGTCCTGGAAATGTTCAGTTATATCAACCGCCTCTATCGGATAAAAATAAACAATGTGTTAGCTGTCAATGGAAACATTTGCTAAGCCAACCATATCGTTGCTAAGATACCACAAAACGACAGTGTAAAGTCCATGGAGCTATTATTCTTATTACTAGAAATTGCAAATTGCAAGTGAAGTGCTGCGAAGTACAACTGC